AAACCGCTAATGATGACCATGATATCCTAGATAATGATGTTAATGAGAATGATGATTCAAAATATGAAAAATTAAAAGAAAAATATGCTATATCAGCTACTCTGGCCTCCTAATCCTAGAACAACTCCCAGCCCTCCCTATATCAGGACACTGTACCTCAAAGACAAAACCAACCTAACTAATTGTCAACCATAGCTGATCTCTTCTCGCTTCATTTCAGCCCCCCCTGGTTCACTACTAGACTGCCTTCCACCCTCAGCAAACCCCAGATCTCTCTACAAGGCCTCACGCTCCTGCTATTAACAGGTTACAGGGCAACGCCCCAGCTCCGGCCAGCGTCGTTCTGGCATCAGCAAACCAAGGGCTCAGAACAGAGCAACTCAGTTGAAATCAGTCCAGGTTCAACCATCTCTGAAGTCCTATATCCCGAATGTGGAAGAATGCTAGATGCTGCCAAAAACTTCAGAACATGTCCGGTTGCTCATCGAACTCATTGATGTTAAAAACCGTAATTCTGACTCGCCAACTCGTCCTCATGCCCCCCTGATTCCACCAAGAAACAGGTTGGCCTGGCTATGGTTGCCAGGCGGGGTGATGGGCGATGCTCACCTTGCCCAGCTTCGTGCCGGTTCGGTGAGTGACGAGACCGGTTCGCCTGAACCGGTGGCGCCGTGACGGAGCGCTCTGCGCCGGCCGACGTCGCCTCCCCTCGATCTCCGTATCCGCCGAACACATACGGTTTAGGCTACCCACCCTCGGGTGGGTCCAACCCAAAGGAAATGATGCAGGAAAAAAAAAAAAAAAAAAACAGGTGCAGGAATCACACAGCCCCACGTGGCTGAGGACAAAGTTCCGAATCTTCTGATAAACAGATTGTGGGTTCAAATCCCGACATACATAGTAATGTCATAAATGTCATTAGCGGCTGCCTCTTTCTTTCTTTTGTTTTTCTTTTTTTTATTAATGTCATTAGGGGCCACCTCTTTTTTTTTTTTTTTTTCCCGGGGAGGCTCCGTCTATTGGTGGAGAGCAGCATGTGCTGAAAATCGGGTCCAGCGTCCTAAAATCGGGTCCAGTGTCCTAAAATCGGGTCCAGCGTCCTAAAATCGGGTCCAGCGTCCTACCTCAGTTGGACACGAAAGAGAAACCTTTTTTTTTTTTTTTTTTTGAAACATGCTCCATCTATTGGTGGGGAGAAACCCTTTTCCCCCGTGGGCGATGCATGATCATCCTGCATCATCATGATGAGGGGCTGATACAATCCTTGCTGAGTGTCAGGAGACAGTGCACTTTACCGCAGGGCCAGAACGGGCTCCAGGGAGTCAGGGAAGTACCAGGGAACAGAGGATTGTCTTCTCTCGTACTACCATACAACACAGGGCTAAGAGATTATCCAGGGTCAATACATACAGTTTATGGGCCTCGCCACACCACTCTCGAATCTCGAAAATTCGTGAGTCGGGCACCGCCACACAGCATCGCTCGAAAAAAAAACTCGAAACTGTTCGAGAGCTGTCAGAAAGGCGTTTTCGAGTGCCCTCTCGAAACGATGTTTTCGCCCAGCCTGCAGCGTTGGAGTTTTCGTGATGCCGCCCGTCAGCGCTCGAGTTTGTCCATTTCGAGAGGCCGGTCTAGTGTGCTATGTGGCGAAGGGCCATTTTCTCTCGAAAACCGGCCTCTCGAAAAATCCCGACAGCTCTCGAATATTTTCGAGATTCGAGAGTGGTGTGGCGAGGCCCTATGATTCACGATTGAGGGCGGGCTATCCTCCTCGTACGTACCTTAGAGTTGAGGCTGGCATAGCAGTCCTTAGTACGGATGTCGGGGGTGTCAGGAGATACTGCACCTTACCGCGGGGCCGGAACAGGCTCCAGGGATATACGAGGGAACGGAGGATCCCCATCTCTCTACCATCAACCCCATAGTACACTGTAGTAAAAAGACAACATAAGGATAAAGAAACTCAGTCCATAACTCATGACCTAGGGTTGGCTATCCTCCTAGTACATAGCATAGGGTTGAGGCTTGCATTGCAGTTCCTTAGTACGGGATGTCGGGGGTGTCAATGACATGGCCGGAACGGGCTCCAGGGACATACGAGGGAACGGAGGATACCCAGCTCTCTATCATCACCATACAACTAAGCAAGATGGGAGTCACTGTGCACCCTCATGAAGACCTGTAGTAGCATGTTCAAA